ACAACACCAGCAAGAACACCACCTGCAGTACACCACAACACCAGTAAGAACACCACCTGCAGTGGTACTTACGAAGGTTTTTCTTCTTAGCTACGAATGTTTTCCTTTTTAGCGCCTTCTTGGCGGCTACGTCGGTATTAGGGCCAGATTCACGAAAGGACTTACGCAAACACTTAAGAACGTGTACATCTTTCCTCAATCATAGACGGCTTTGGTTACATTTATTAAAAAGTTTACAAGCATGAAAACTTGCCATTCAACTGTTTTTATTGTTGTAAACAGCCTCCCGGTGCTTCGGAGCTCATTAACTGTTTAATAATTGTAAACGAAGCCGCCAAAGATTGAGAAAAGATGTACAGGTTCGTAAGTGCTTGCGTAAGTTCTTTCGTGAATCTGACCCCAGGTAGCTACACTAAGTCTAAAAACCTTCGTAAGTTTGGTCCGGGATCTAAGTGTGGTTTCGACCACTCGTAGCTTTACGTAAACTGGATATAACTCAATTTTTCTCTACTACATAACACTGGGATCGATTTTAAGATTTTAGAACATAAACAAAAGATTATAAAAATTGAATCTCGTGAAGAGGAGTCCTTCGTGTTAGTTATATATGCATTCTCTGCTTGAAACTGAGTAAAAATGTCTTTTATGATATTAGAATTAGTTTTGTAATAGCAAGATATTATACCCGTAGTTATTAAGTAAATAAACACTGGTGAACATGAAATATGAGAGAAGGTGATGAGCCCTGCCTGAAGGGATCATTTACTATCACCAAATGCACCTGTTCACCTAGTAGTAAGGGTGTACCTGAGCTATACATACCCATTTCTAATTTATTTAGTTTGGTTTTATTTTGAGATTAAATCTGGGTGAGACATAAAATAGAAATATGCTGCACAAATGATGTTAGGTAAGGAGAAGGGTAAAAATGTCAAAAACTTTATTCATTGAATACTTAAAGCTATAATTATGACTATATGGACTATTAAAAAAGAGAGAGGGAAGTAGGGGTCCAAGACCTCTTCCTGTTATACAACTTGGGCGTGGAACAAGTAATTATCAAAAGAAGGCACCATGCAGGGAAGGCTATGTAGCAGTAAGGCAGTGAGGTGAGGCAGCTAATTATTTGAGAAATGCTTATTATATTTACCTTATAAGCTGAGGCAACTTATTTTATTTGGGGAATACTCAGCTGATTCCTCTACATTTAGCATGGAACAAATTTGTGTCCAAGACCTCTTCCTGTTACACACTTTGGCTGTGTGTAACCAAACTAGAAGTGCTCTACAAATCAAGGGACCCAGAATGTGGAATGACCTCCCGAATCATGTCAAAGACTGTACCTCTCTCAACCAGTTTAAGAGTAAAACCAAGTACTACCTAATTAACTCCATGTAACCTAACTTATTCCCTAAATGTCAACCCATGTCTTGCTATTTTTTAAACAATGCTGGTTACCAACGTGTACAATTGCTGATTTCTGCTATGTTACCCCCTTTTTGTATTTGTTATTCCTTCTTTCAACACAATTTATACCTAATCCTGATTACTATTAAGTTTTAGTCTAAGTGTTTTTCCCCCCACACCTTGCCCGAAATGCTATGAGTATTAGTGGCTTTAGGTATTGTATGTACTAGCTCTGTCTATAAATCCAACATTATGTTTGTAAATCAACTGTATGTACTTTTCCTGAATAAAATTTATTTATTATTATTTATTTATTAATCAGTAATTATTAAAAGAAGGCACCAAGCTGGGAAGACTATGTAGCACCATTGTGTGTAACAATAAACCATTTTTTTTTAACAAATAATGCAGCTGTATGGTAAAACAAATCCTGTCAGCTATAAAAATATTGATGCAGTTATTTAAATAAAAAAATATAATGAAAGAAATATTACTGGTTTATTTTTATCCTATCTTTTGTACTGTACAGTATATCCAAGGAAGTGAAAAATTGAGATATAATGCACAATTTAATGAATGATTCAAAAATGATTAGCATGGATTAGCAGTTCAAAAGAAATATGACTATTACATATCAACATGAGATCTTAATGATCCATGGTTAACATGATTTATTAATAAGGATAATACAGTACTGTATTTGTAATAATACAAACTATAATTTAAAATTTTTATTACTGATTTTTTTTTATTACAAAGATTAGGTATACACAGCAATGTGCTGCTACCCTATTCTATATAGAATATTACACAGTGTAGATAAAAAACTAGCTATAAGTTTATCTAAACTCCCATCTCACAGGATGGTTAGACATACATGGAATCAATTTAGAAAATACCAGCCTCAATACAAAAAACAAATCAATTCTGACTAAACAACTCTTCGCGATTTTCACAAGAGGTAAGCACTGAATCATGGAAACATTATATTATAATTACTCTTACCAGTTTCTACAAGACTTCTCTCAAACAATGTATTTTTTAACATGTTTAGGTATGCACAGCAATGTGCTGCTTCCCTATTCTGTATGAAGGACCACACAGTGTAGATCAAAAACCAGCTACAAGCTCATTCAACATCCTCACCTCACAGGACGGCCAGTCATACATGTAATCAGGAGAGAACAAAATACTTAAGGCTGATCTATTACCCTCCACTGGCAAAATCTGGGTGCAGCACAAGAATATCTTCCAATATTCCTGAGTGTATGAAGTAATTGCAGAGCTCAAAGTACCCTATACCATTTGGTATGAAGTCACTGATAACAGGGCAATCACAGATATAGTGTTGGAGAGTATGTTCTCTCAAGTAGGACTGAAAACAGATGTTTTTTTCCACCAAGAGGGCTATAAACCCATGGAACCGCCTACCCGCTGAAGCCGTAAATGCCAAATTCCAGCTAAAAAATATCATTAAGGCAATTGACGGGCCCTTTAACAAGCCGCCGGCTTTCTGTCCTCGTCGAGGCCACTAGATAGTTAGTGGCCCTTGGGTAAATTCAGTAAATATATACAATAATTGTCAGCACATCTTCCGAGCAACAAGGACAGCTACACAGTATCTCTTAGAATTACGTAGGTAAACAACAAATGTAACATATTTGTTTACTACAATGTCGGTGCTGGCTATAGAAGTTGAAAAAACATTGTTTTACTTCGAAATATACTAATTTTATAAGAAAATTCGACGTAAATAGGAGGCAGTAGAGCTCCGATAAGCCAGCGTTAAATCTTCAATATGAAGAATGTTGCTGCTCTCTGATTGGCCAAACGAAACACAGTAGTGACCTCTATCGGCACGCAGGTGAACCAAAAAATTTCTTCCTAAGTGGACCTACGTGAATTGCACCTAAGCATCTTCTTAGGGCATACTTAGGAACCTTCGTAGCAAACCTACTTACGAAGAAATACATGGAGCTTCGTGAATCTAGGTCCAGGCTTGACTTGTGAGAGCTTGGTCCACTAGGCTGTTGCTGGGATCGGCCCACAGGCTCACATATCCACCACAGCCTGGTTGGTCCGGCACTTCTTCAAGTGTCTGCTGTGTCACTTGTTGGGAGGGGGAAAGACTCTTGGCTAGACGTTGTATGACGCTGGGCGTCGACTTACTGGGGCTTGCCTCTCCTCTGCCATTTTGCTGATCGTTTCCTGCCGTGTGGGGCACTATGGAGAGATAGCTGTGTGGTCTCCCATTTATAAAAGACATTGCTGATAGTCCAACCTGTCCTCTTAAAAATAACGTCGCTTTTGGCCGCTTACCAGTATGGCCGAAAGTGGACGTAATTTGAAAATGAAAAAAAAATAAAAAAAAATTTGGGATTTTTTTTTCAACAACAGTAAGTTAAGGGTCCTCTGATGGGTTAGGTGGGCTGGAATTTCTCATAAAGTTTCAAAACGGTATGAAAAATGTTAATTGAATGTTTCCTCTCCTAACCTTACCGAGTAAACCGGACGACTCTAACAGAAAACGGGACAGTACGTCACTTTTGTGAGTCGATATCATTTCAAATTACGTCTAAATTTGGCCATAGCGTGCATACGAGCGAAAAGGGCAACCCTTGAAATGGTGGTCTCCTGCGCAGATGCTGCACTTCACGCCTTGGAGGGAACTGTTCTTAATGAAGTGTGTGTATTGGTAGCACTTGTAGCACTGTCTTAAAGGGAAGTAACGATAGTTGGTGATTTGGAGCCTTGTATAGGTTACTCCACAGCGCCTGAATGAGATAGTCGTCATGTAGATGACGACTATCATAACCTTCTCCGGGGTTATGAAGATAATTTTTAAGGTGGATTTTCGACTTTCATCTTGTCCGATGAGTTTTGCAGCTACAGGGACTGAATATTAGCAGCTACAGGGACTGTATATTAGCAGCTACAGGGACTGTATATTAGCTGCTATTAGGATTGTATATTAGCAGCTACAGGGACTGTATATTAGCTACTATAAGAACTGTATATTTGCAGCTACAGGGAACTGTAGCTGCTAATATACAGTGTGTCTATCACTCCACCATATTTAGTTAGTTGTTGGTGTATAAAGTACAACTAACTTGGTAATCCAATGATTTTTTGGTAGAACCTATGGGTGTATGGTATCTAGATCAATATTTGTGTGTTGTAATCTGCCATTGCAATGCAGATTAACATGATTATTATTGTGGACTATCTATAGACCAATATTCTGAATCTATTTGTTAGGAAAGTTTTTATAATTCTTTCCATAATTATCTCTCTGGGTTTGTCTTATCCAATAAGTCATTACTCCTAGAAATGTGTTTTTGATACCTTCTTTTTCAGGAGAAAGAGAAATACTTATTGTGTAACTTAAAGTAATTTCAATAATGAAGAGAAGCGAGTAGAGTCAATGACCGGTGGTTGAACAGGTTATTCGGTGGTAGTCATGGACTGTGTCACAATGACTTGTGGCTTTTGATTTGGCCAACTACCATCAACCAACCATCGAGGCTTATGATACAAATTCCAGCCTATGAGGGAATGAGAATTTTTAACCGTTTTCGTATGACTGCAACTGCATGCAACGTCGACCGTACAAGACCTGGACACCACTACACGAGTACAAGATCGTCAGTGAGGATTCTCCTCAGACGGGCGTGTCAAGCTCCGCTGGGTCGCTAGCCTCCCAACTGCTTGGAGCAATCTGGAGGTTAGTGTATATCGGCTACTCTATATATTCCATCATACTTAATGGAGTATGTATGATGGAGCTCTATACATACATATATACTCTATCAAACATACTCCATTTTACATATATACTCTATCATACATACTCCATCTTACATATATACTCTATCATACATACTCCATAAACATAACACTATCAGGAGCACAAACTTAACACCACTAACAAAGATAATAACAACAAACAAACAACACAATCCATAGCACAAACTTAACACCACCAATAAGGATACCAACACTACAGTACAAAGATAACACCAAATATAACTACACGAACAAATATAACTACACCAACAGAAATAACACCGTCAACAATGATAACACCACCTACAACACAAACATAACACCAATAGAGATGAAACCATCTTTAACACAAACATAACACCTACAAAGAGAACACCTGTAGGTAATTTCCCACATCAATTATAAACTCTATAATGCAACAAGCAGAAAATAAACTGCTGCTCTTTTGTGTTAAATAATATCAATAAAATAATTTAGTTAGTCATTAAAAAGATAATGTTCTTGATAAAATTCGTTTCAGAAAACGAGATTATTATTCACCACGTCGCCAAAACGTATTTAATTAATTTAATATAAAACCCTACAGTCGGAAGACTAACTAATGAACTACACTTTCCTAAACTCTACTGAAACAACAGTAACTAAACCCATCGATTAAACATCTCTCGGAATCCATAAAGAACCGTTCTGTTGATGCATCACCTGAATGGGAGGGAGGTGGGAGCCATTAATTACCGATTTGTAAAGAAACTTGTCGGAGGAGAGTAACACAACTTCCCGCGAGGCCAGACCGCGTTGTGACCCTTTCAGTACATGAAAGAGATGCTATTGACTGCCACGACTACGCTACACTTAGGGAAGTGCATAATTACCTGGTTAACTAATAACTTGTCTTGCTTTTTATGGCTATATTATATGAATAAGTAGTTAGCTGGTTATGTCGAATGGAAACACCCGAAAGTGTAAGCATCTATAATTATTAACAAGAACAATTTTCGTTTTTTTTTCGTTTCGAAAAATTTTTCGTGTCCCACCTGTGATATACATGTTGTTATCATATTTGACAGTGTAACATTTAAGCAGGTAAATTGCGACTACATGAAGTAATATGTGGACTGGTATACCAGGCGAGCCCAAGGACGCCATTATCACCCGGTCTGGGACTGAGTACACGAGAGGATTTTGATTGTTGCCGCCCGAGGCGGCTAGTTTATTGTGCACCCCATACTCATCCTGTAAGTGGTAGCACAAAAGCATTACAGAGGGCACAAAAGGTCTTTATCAGACCTCGTCTTAGATTATCACATAAACGAGTGTGAAGAGGTCTCTGATAACACGGCCACATTCAGCAAAGACAGCTGAGCCTGTTTCATAAATTTAACTAACCCTAATTAGAAGTAGAATACCCCAATATAGTTTCCGTTAACCGTTTGATTACGGTGTAACCAAATTCCTTAACAGATCGACCGTTTAATTACGATACGACCAAATTTAATTAATTATAACCCCACCCACTCACCCCCAGGTTTGTGAGAGAAGTTTACCAGGGGAATATACATTAAAACCATACAGTCCACATTCGAAGAAATAAATAAAATATAATTAATTTAATGAAAAAATAATAATAATAATAAATAAATAAAAGAAAATAAATTCTCACCGGTAATATTTCCTCACAACACCACCTACAGGACAAAGATAACACCACTAAACATAACACTAAAATATATAACACCACCCACAGCACAAACATAGCACCATCAAACATAACACTAAAAAAGATAACACCACCTACAGCACAAAGATAACACCACCTACAAATATAACACCACCAACAAACATAACACCACCAGCAAAGATAACACCAACAACAAAAATAACAACGCTAACAAACATACCACCACCAACAAAGAAAACACCACAAACAAACACAACACAACCACCAAACATAACACCACTACCAAAGATATCAACACCTACAGCACAAACATGACACCACCAACAAAGATAACACCACCAAGAAAGATATCAACATTTACACCACAAACATAACATAACCAAAAAAGATAACACCAATAACAAACATAACACTACTAAATAAATAAAATAATAATAATATAAATAAATCTTTATTTAGGTAAGGTACATACATAAAGAGATTTTACAAAGTTTGTTGGGTTAATAGATAGAGCTAGTACATACAATGCCTAAAGCCACTATTACGCAGAGCGTTTCGGGCAGGAAAAACATTAATGACTAAAGCTTAAAACTAATGGGTAAAAAGAATGACTAACAAAGATAACACCATGACTAACAAAGATAACACCATGACTAACAAAGATAACACCACCAACAAAGATAACACCACCAACAGAGATATCAAGATCTACAGCACAAACATAACAAAACCAAAAAAGATAACACCACTAACAAAGATAACACCACCAACAAAGACAACACCACTTACAACACAAATATAACACCACAAAGAAAGATAACACCACCTGCAGCATAAACATAACAGCACCATCATAACATTAATGCAAACACTCAAACGACAAGGCCGACGGGTACTTATCAACTGGGTGCCAAGTCATGTGGGAATAATAGGAAGTGACATTGCAGACGAAGCAGCAAAACTTGCAACTAAGAGAAGAAATGTAAACATTTACATACCACAGAGTCTATCACAGGTTAAGAAAGTAATTAGAAACAGAGCAATGTAAAATATGTACAATGTAAATATGTGACCATGTTACGACTCTGGGTTCTTCAGTGGAAACCAGAGGTCCAAATTTATCTAATTAAGCTACATTAGAGTAGGAAATCGCAACTCGATGTGTCTTTGTTTGTATCTTCCCTGCCAGACGTAAGACTATTCTTGTTTCTCAAAGAGCATTTAAAGACTGAGCTGGGGGTTGATTATTAAATAATAACATAGGCACCAACTATGTTTACTAATACTTTCTAATCATTTGTAAAGTAAATCTGAGTAAACTTGGGATAGGACTGCTGTACGATTAGATGAGCAGTCTACTGGCAGCGAGTGAGCTGGAGAAGAGATGGCGAGAGTCAGGTCTTCTCTGCTGGCTGGCTGTGGTGAAAGGAACCCTCTCTCCTTCCTCCTCCTTTCCTTATTTCTGTGTCTTGTTCAAGCTAAGTATATACTGTGTACATTATTCAATTTCTGGCATACTTATGTTCTATGTGTAGAGTAGTCTATTTTATGTGTAGTAGGTGTTTTTAGGGTTTATATTACTAGTTATTCAAAAGGGGGTCCCATTGGAACCACGTGGTCCCCTACCCTAAGCTGACTCTAACTTCAAGTTATTCAATAGTAGAGCTTTACCCTAGCTTGTGCTCAGTGTAAAACCTTGTATCCTGTTTATGTGGACCAAGGCTTTTAACGTAAGGTAGTGTGGTAAAGTTATTATTATTATTGTTATTGGTGTGAATGTATATGGGGGGCCGTTAAGGGGTTAATAAATAAGTACATGAATTATAGGAGTATCCCTTCTTCCTGTGTGGGAGTGTAGTAGTACATTATTTACATTCTTGAAAAGCCACTAGTACGCACAGCGTTTCGGGCAGGTCCTTAATCCGCGGGCAGGTCCTTAATCCGAGTGCATTGATCAACCCTTAGACTGACATATATGGTCTAGTAGTAAGGTATTATTACTGTGGATAATTTATTTTGGGGGCCGGGCCTTTTAGCTCTCCCATAGTTGATAACTCTGTCTTCTAACTGCCCTTACCCCTTAATAGTACCAGTTTCCCCATAGCAAGCCCACCACACCACAATTAATTTTAACAAGTGGTTGGCCAGTCCGGGAGGAACATTATAAGTGTAAAAAAATAGATTCTTGAGTGCCAAAACTAAAATTTTTTGTTTTCCGCAGAACGGTTGTGTGCTAGCCTAGGGTCCAGCTCTTCTAGCAAAAGACATTCTTGCACTGACTGGACACCCAGCTGGATCCCTTCACGATTAAGGTTAGTGTGGCCTTGTGTTAGGGGCCGTGCAAATTTTTTTTTTTTTTTCCAATTTTTATTTTTTAATTTTTTCTTTGGCTGGGAGCTAAAATTATTAGTGATGTCATCTGAAATGCAGAGACTGGCAAGGGAGCCTTCAGTGGTAGAGATAAAGAAACTCACCAAGTCTAATTTAGTATTGTTAGGCAAGGAATTTGACCTAGAATTAAATGTCGCGGATAAAAAGTGGACTTTGGTGAATGAAATATTACAACATTGTATTGATAAAGAACTATTGGCAAGTGATACACCTTTATGCCAGCCTAGCCAAGCAGAAAGTGCAACTCATAGGGATAGAGAATTAGCTCTAGAGTTAGCAAGAATAAAATTAGAGGAGCAAAGACTCAAAACCGAGGAGGCTAGAATTAGAGCGAATGCCACTGGACCTCCACCTGCCGGGGATTCAAACCCCAGGCATTATGAGAAAAAGAATAATTTGCCTGAATTTTCCGAGTCGGACCCTGAAAGGTTTTTCAACCATTTTCAGAGATTGGCTATGTCCATGAACTGGCCAAAAAAAAGAGTGGGTGAAAATCCTTCAGGGAAGACTTAGGGGTAAAGCACAAGATATTTTTATAAACATGCCTGACGACGAGTGTTTTGAATATGATAAAGTCAAGGAACGTATTTTGTGGGCATATGAAATTACTCCTGAAGCTCACCGCCAAGTTTATCGCAACCTTAGGCCTACTCACAACCAACCGCTCACTGAATTTGCTAATGATCAAATTAGATTGTTTGATAAATGGATTCGCTCAGCTAAAGCCGAAACATACGAGGCACTCAAGAAAACTTAATACTTAGTTAATCGAACAGTTTATAGATAGTATGCCAGACATTGTAGCTCAGTATATTAGAGGAAGGGCAGAGGTAAATTCTAAAATAGGGGATTTGGCCAAGTTGGCAGAA